GAAATAACATTGTTCATACTATTAGTTCTTCCTGGTACACGATACTACTATAGTGTTTTATCCCTTGAACCTTCTTTCTTAAGTATTCTTTTGAGGACACAGAGAACTGGTAGAGTGTGGGGCAGAGAACCACCCTGTGACCCCATGATGCAGCCGATTCCTCTATTGAAGGAACAGAGGGAAGATGTTCAAAGATACGGCATTGACCTGACTTTGAATCATGTATTAGAAGGAAGTGTATTATTCTACACCCCACATACCCAGCTTCTCCTCCTCCTCTTTCCCAGGCCATAGCTCCCTATGTGTGAACGTACAGGCTATTAGAGTGCAGAAAGCAGTGAACCCTCAGCTGTATGTATTGCTACAGTTTATGTTTCCTGAGCGCTGTGCCAGTTACTATGATAAACACTTTACACATGCTGTCTCCTTTACTCCACACAAGAGCCTTGTGAGTTATAGGGACCGTTATTATCCTTATTTTATAAATGAGGAAACTGACTTATGGAGGTTGATAGTCTGCTCAGACGCCCAGGTAGTAAGGAAAGATGTAGGATTCAAACCCAGTCGGTATGACTCAGAAGCCCAACTGGTCCATCACCCCCTCATGTACTATATGTTTACCTTCTGTTGGAATATTGTCTTTTATATAGTCCTCTGGCTGAGGCCTGTGAAGGAAGGCCACTCCTCTTTGGGTATAGGGAGCCTCTCTGAAGAGGACATCATGGAGTCAGTCTCACTCAAGGAAGAGGTGGGGTCTCAGAAGGAAAAAAAAGTTTAAAAAATGATTTTTTTTTTTAAAGATTTTATTTATTTATTTGAGAGAGAGAATGAGAGACAGAGAGCATGAGAGGGAGGAGGGTCAGAGGAAGAAGCAGACTCCCTGCCGAGCAGGGAGCCTGACGTGGGACTCGATCCCGGGACTCCAGGATCATGACCTGAGCCGAAGGCAGTCGCTTAACCAACTGAGCCACCCAGGCGCCCCAAAAATGATTTTTTTTTTAAAGACCTGGAAGTAGATCTCAGATAAACAGAAGAAGAGATTTTGCATTTTTTAATGTATATCCTCTGAATCTAGACAATTGAGAATTGTCTAGAAGGGTACTTCTGAGTGCTGGAAGCTAACCCCAAAAGACCAAAACAACAACAAAAAAGGTTTCTCAAAAAAAGACAGAGAATAGAGGTTAAAAAAGAACCCAAACAATATAAGCTAATAATGAGGAAAATATTTCTAATAAGCTGAATTATCTGTATCAAGAGTCCTCTGTGCTTCTCAGTTTTTTCCTCATGATTTAGTGAGATTCCTTTTCCTGCCGCACAAGTACGAGAGTAAGGACAGCAATTCCATGGCACCTGTGCCCCCGACTCTTGCCCACACTGGCCTTTGGCCAGGTCATCCATTCACTTCACAGCATTCTGTCCCTGAGCCCCAGGGCAGCCTCTGCACCCACTCACCAGGCCTCATGGTAAGAACATAACAGTACCTCATTCCCCTGCCTGCAATTATGGCATTGTAGTCAGTGGGAAACAATTAAAGATTCTCCTTTTGATTCCAAACTTTGGAAGTCTTTATTTCATTAAGGAGAGTATCATTTCCTTTTGTGCTTCAACAGTGGTGCGGAAGTGGCAACTGTCAGTGGCTTCGGTGGCTGCCACCTGTCAGTGTCACGGAAATCGCCCTCCTAGGAACTTCCTTCCTGAAGCAAGGAAGGAGGTGGGACCTGCCAGGCACGGGGTGGAACAGGGACGGCAAGGAGGGTTGTCACACCTCTAAAGCAACTTCAGAACCAAACTTCAGCCTTGTCACTTTTGTTCTCAGTAATGTGAGTCTGACTGCGAGAGCTTAAGCTGTTTGAGTGCAGGGCGTCCAATTTCAGTGCCTATTATTGAATAACACATATTGGATAGAGCTGAATTATTGTGAATGAAAGACTCGGCCAAGGCTTCTCTTCCATGATCTTTCATTGCCACCATGGAATGCTGAGGCACCTGAGCTCAGGGAGATGCAGTTTCCTATTTCAAAAGTATTACTCATTCTACTTTTCCAAGGTCATGATGGTATACCGTCATACTAATTAATTTATTTAATTAAAATAAATTAACACGGTTGTGTCTGAAACAGCCCAAAAGGCAAGCTATGTATATTAAGTGGCAACTTTAACACAGAGGTAAAAGTTGGTTTTCTAAATGAGTAATCCTTAATGGAGGTTATCCAACACTTTAAAATCAAAAATTTTCCCCCATCACAGTTCTTGGTCTTCCTCTTCCATCTTTTGCTGCAGAATGTAAGACCTTTAATTCTCCCATAAGGACATCTGCATTAAAAGGCCCCTAAAGATGATCCGGTTTTCTCCCTTTGACCCTGGCCTTTCCAACAAACCAAAATGTGTAGACCATGCATACCCCCAAACTACCCTAGCTCTTTCCATCACATGTAAGCAGTGCTTTTCTTTTTCTGGGAAAGAGAGGATGGGGAATGTCTGCCTTGGTTTATATTGAATTTGAGGCAAAAGTAGAAAAGCAGTGGTTGAGAACTTTGTTCTCCTGCAACATCTTGCTTTCTCAGACCTCCATGCCTATGTGCTTTAATCTACCTGGTTACACACTCCCCCCTCCCCAAGTCTTCCTGGAAAACCGTGTTTGATCCTTGAGAAATAACCTGCGTTATGAAGCTTTCCCCACTGCCCTCCTGCCCAAACAGTCAGCCTCTTCTTCTGTTCCCCTAACATTTTAACACACATCTCTGTGTTTGTCGTACTGTATGGGATCATTGATTTATACATCTGTTTCCCTCACCAGACTGAACTTTTTCAGAGCAGAGATTTTATTTCATTCATTTATTTATCCAGCACCTCACACGTAGTAGCTGTTAAGTAAATACAGTCATACTGAGTTCAATCTTTATGGAACTTATATATAGCTCTAAGGTAAGTTAGGATGAGTCATGAGAGAGGGTACAGAATTTAGTATGGAGTAAATTCCAGGATCCATCTCAGCCTTCTAGTCTGAAGGTGTTGGTCAGGTATTGTCATTTAGATGTGTAAATTACAAGCAAAGCCTTGTGGGCTTCTAGGGATGCACAGAAGAAAACTTGTGCCTGGAGATGTTTCAGCAAGGCAGATCAAGGGGAGGAGACCTTTGCCACGGGGCGGACCTGTGTTTCATGCTCCACCAGAAGTACTGGTCCTTCTTAACCACATAGCACACATATGGTTACCATAATACACACATCAGTCAGGGCCCAAACAGGGAAAAACAAGCACTATGACATTTACAGAATAGGGAATTTGTTTTATGAATTACGTGTTGTACAATCTTGGGTGAAGATGGGAAAATAGGTCAAAAGGGAGAATTGAAAATTCAGGAGAAAAATCACTAACCAGCCCTCCTGAAACAATGGCATGGATGGACAAGTGGGAGCTCACAGGGCAATCTAGAAGCTGCTGGTGTGGGACCATGAAAAGATGTGGGGTGAGAGGGAACTGTTGTAGGACAGAAGTCAGAGGAAGACTGTTGCCTCTGCGTAGCTGCCATTCTGGAAGTTTGCTGCAGAGTAGTTGGTGGTGGCCTTGGAATCATTCATCAGCAAGGCTGGTAGTTCTTTTTTTTTTTTTTTTTTTAAGATTTATTTATTTGACAGAGAGGGAACATAAGCAGGGGGAGTGGGAGAGGGAGAAGCAGGCTTCCCGCTGAGCAGGGAGCCCAATGCGATGCGGGGCTCAGTCCCAGAACCTGGGGATCATGACCTGAGCCGAAGGCACACGCTTAATGACTGAGCTGGTAGTTCTAGTCACAGAGCGGGAAAGAACAAGGACAAAGTGAAACCCAGTGGCATTTCTACTATTTTTTCTCACTATCTTTGATCACAATGACCTTCAAAAAACATGGCTGCTACATCACTGGGACCTTACAAATCTCACACAGATTTCTCTTTTGCCCAATTCTAGCCCACAACCATACAGGGAAATGGGTTCTGGGACACATAATTCTTATGTAGCCAGATTGATACAGTATAAAACGACAACAATATACCTCTAAATTTTGTAAGTTGAATTTAGTTTCAATTTTAGAAGCAGTACTCACATAAATAGGAAAAAACAGAGGTAAGAAACATGTATGACTTTATAGTTTTTTGAAAAACATTCTTGGGTATTGCCTAGAAACATGCCTTACCTAGCACACATTTCAGAAACAGAAATTGTTGGTTATCAATGCTAACTGCTATAAAAAAATCTTAAGGTGACTATATAAGCATTTCTTTGTCTTCTGATGGTCAACATAGAATTTAAGTACAGTTTTTAAACAGTCATCTCTTGAGACCTTCCAAAAATGATCTAAGGACAAAAGGAAGTAACATTTGTTACGCACTGTGCCAAGAACTTCTGTCTCATTTCATCTAATTCATAGACGTTGCCTGTGAGGCTCCTAAAAGTGAAGTAACTCAAGATCAGATTCATGTAAAATTGTTGAAAATTCACCCCAGAATTTAGAGTAACTTATATCTCAGTCTAGGCTATCTTTTTCTCTTGACTTAGTTGGTTATTTACTCCTATTTTTTAACATCTTATTGAAGAAGAGATAACATATATATTAAAGTATGTAAAGTGAACTAAAAATTTTAAGAGTGCAACTCAGTGAATTTTTACATACCTATCTATATATTCATATAATCACCATCCAGATAAAAATACAAAATTTTTCCAATACCCTTGATTGGTATTCCTTGGGCCATTTGTACTTCTCAGGTAAACTGCCTTTTATATATATATAAATATATAAATATTTCTTCTCAGGTAAAGTGCCTTTTATATATATATAAATATATAAATATATATGTATAATATCTTTTTTTTTTCACTACATGGATGGTGTAATTCTTGGAACAATGATAGGAAGAAGTGAACCTTAGCAGTAAAGTGAAAATGTTAAATAATGTGCCTCATAACTGCTTTGAATTACATCTCCTTATATCACTTTCTCTTTCTGCTTTTACCCTAAAACAGGTAATCAGATCCTGTCCCTTGGGAGCCTCTCAAAAGATCAGATTTATCCAATGAAACTCAAGGGCATCTCCATCTGCTATTCAGCTCTCAAATCTGCCTTGTGTGGAAATTATGTCAGCTTTGGCGTCTTCAAGTTGTATGGGGACAACCATTTTGACAATGTACTCCAGGCCTTTGTCAAAATGCTGCTGTCAGTGTGCCACAGTGACTTGCTAGTAAGCAGTCGTGCATCATGGGAGTCTTTGTGTGAAATGTGAAGTAACACCACCACAGGCTTGGAATGGTTATAATGAAGCCCGGGGAGTTAGAATAGCACCAGAACATTTTATGTTTTAGGATTTAACTTAAAGAATTTTAAGAACTATAGTGGCTGTATGCATAATTAAATGTACAGTTTTCGAAAATTGCAGCTAGCACCTCTGACAGATTGGTCATCCAGAGTGCTCCAGGTTCAGCATCCAGAGACAATGTAAATAGCAATTTCAACTAATTGCTTACAACTGTGCTAATAATTCAAAAAAGGTCTGTTTCCTGGAGCAGAAATGTAGGACTGGCTGCAGAATCTTCTCCTTCCATCTACTTCCCCTACGCTTTCGCCTTCCTTTCCATGAAAATTCTGGTGTGGCAGAAAGAATGCTGAACTCAGAGTTGAGCATACGGGGGCATAGTCTCTACTCTGCCACTCACTAGTCATTTACCTTGAATAAATCACCTTCTCTATTTCTCCAGGCTTTAATTTCCTCACCTTTAAAATTAGTAAATTAAACAAAGTGATCTCTAGGTCCCTTTTCAACTCTACCATCTAGTTTCTATGATTTATGCCAGTGGTTTTCAAACTTTGAGGCCCATCAGAATCACCTGGGGTGTTTGTTGGAAATTTAAATTTCCAGGCTCCTCCACTGAGCTGTGTCATTATCAGACTTTTTTTAAACATCCCTGCCTGATCACACAAAAGCTAATATATGCCTAATGTTGTTGCAGTAATTACTTCAGTAACAGCCAAATTCATGCTCAGACTTAGTTCAGGCTTTCCCACCTGCCCTCCCTGCCAAAGTTATAAGTAAGATCTAGGGGGCCTTTGTTAGCCAACCCATGTGAGAAATGCTCCTTGACAAGAATGGACAAACGGACCAGCATCACCCACTTCCACTGTTCTAAGCTAGTCTTAATAGAACCACAACTCAAGCCAGAGTGGTTTAACCTCAGTAGTAGAATGGGATACTCATTGAAGGCTACCCGTATGACAAAAATTACAAGGTAGAAACTTGACTCAGATCAGGCATGGGTTCTCATCGAGAAGACTCTTCACTGCAGTTGAGGTCCCCCCAAAAAACTGACTGTGGCTCCAGGAATTGCTCTAATCATTTTTCTAACAGGCAAGCAGATCTCTAACTCAGTAATTCTCAAAGTTAAGGGTGCATAGGACTCCCTTCGTGTGCGTGTTTAAAATGCAGGTTTCAAGACCTCGTTCCAGAGCATTTCATGTAGTGAGTCTGGAGTGGGGATCAGGAAACTGCATTTTTAATAAGCATCCCATGTGATCTTATGGAAGTGATCTTAATCTCACTTTAATAAACACTGCTCTGGTTTATTTCTCTTATGAGTGTTATGCTTCTTTGATATTGGTTTGAGTTCCATGTAAAGTTTTCCAGGTATTTTTCTCATGCACTTATCTTTTGCCTGTAGTATATGGCAAGTATTAAGCCATTGACCAAATCATGATTTAGTTAGGTGGGTTGGCATTTGTAAGTAAAACAGACTATGATGTCAAATCTTATTACAACAGCAAATACCTTTGTATTAAAAAAAAAAAAAAGGGCTGCCTAGCCACTATTAAGTACTGTTCAGTGTTACAATATCCCCATCCAGAAAAAATAATTCAGTCTTCTAAATTCCATACGACAGAGATTTTATTTGCATTTAAGTGTTAGCCATATAAGGTAAACTTGACATTACTTGCAGTGCTATAGCTTCAAATTAGGATTTCTAGAGATCAAGAGATTCTTTTTAGAACCCCTTTCAATACTGAATTGCGAATCATGATGTCATGTGTTCCATGTATTTATTTTATATATTTATGTTTAAGTAAGTTTACAATTTCCAATATTATAAATGGCAGTTTCTACTAGACCTTAACATGTCTTTTGCTTCCCTTTGGCTTGACACTTCGTTATCTCTGTGTTGTAGCAATATCGGAAACTGAGCCAGTCTTACTATCCACTCCTGGAATGTCTTACCCAGGACCACATGAGCTTCATCACCAACTTAGAGCCTCCTGTACTTCTATATGTTCTCACATCTATCTCAGAGGGACTCACTACTCTTGGTAAGTATCACAGAGAACATTATTTCCAGAGGAAAAGCTTGATTGTGGTCTCTTAATAAAAGTGCTTATTGAGATGATCTACAAAGAGGAAAAGATGGCATACCCAAACTGAAAGATTATTTTGTAATTATTACTTGAAAGTGAGAGAATGCCCTTTTTTCGTATTTTGATGTACAGCTTATTTCTTAATCAGCTTAATTAAGGTATAATTTACACACAATAAAACTCCTTATTGATTTTAAGTGAACAGTTCAGTGACTACTGACAGATGTATGTACATAGTCATAAACTACCACAACGAAGATATGGAACATTTTCTTCACCACAAAAAGCTCCCTCATGCCCCTTTCTGATCAATCCCTTTCCCCTGGCCCCAGCCCCAAAGAACCACTGTCTACTTTCTTTCACTATAGTTTGCCTTTTCCAGAATTTTGTCTAAGTTGAAACATATGATATATAGACCTTTGTGTCTGGCTTCTTTGATTGAGCATAATGCCTCTGAGATTCGTCCATGTTGTTTTGCAAATCAATTTATTCCTTTCTGTTGCTGAGTTATTATTCCATTGTATGGATTATCACAATTTATTTATATATTCACCAACTGATGGCTATTTGGGTTGTTTCCATTATTTGGTTATTTTGTACAATGTTACTATGAACATTCGTGTACAAGTCTTTCTGTGGACAAATACTGTTTCTCTTGGGTAACTACCTAGGAGTGGGATTTCTGAGTTGTATGCTAAGTGTATTTTTAACATTATTTAAAAAAACAACAACAAAAAAAAAAAAAAAAAAAAAAAACCAGAAAACTACGACACTGTTTCCCAAAGTGACTGTACCATTTTGCTCTCCCCAGCAATGTATGAGGGCTCCAGTTTCCCTGTATCCTCCCTAACACTTGCTATTATTAGTCTTTTTAATCTTAGCCATCTTAGTGGTGTGAAGAAGAATCTCATTGTAGTTTTAATATTTATTTACTGAATAATGATTTGCACATCTTTTCATGCTTGTGTGCCATTCGTGTATCTTTTTCATGAGTATTTATTCAAATCTTTTACCCATTTTTTTAACTGGATTGTTTATCTTGTAAGTATTTGTTACATATTCTGGATGCAAATCCTTTATCAAATGTGTGTTTTGCAAATATTTTTTCCGTCTTGGCTTTTTATTTTCTTAACAGTATCGCCTTATTATAAGAGCAAAGTTTTTAATTTTGAGGAAGTCTAATTTATTTATTTTTTTCTTTTATAGTTCATGTCTTTTGGGTCCTATCATAAGAAATCTTTGCTTAACCTAAGGCCAAAAAGGTTGTTTCTATGTTTTCTTCCACAAGTTTTATAGTTTTTTATCTTATGCTTAGGTCTATGATCCATTTCCATTAAACTTTTTGTATATAGTATTAGGTATGAGATGAAAGCTGTTTTTTAATATTCAGTTATTCAATTGTTATAGCACCTTTTGTTGAAGAATATCCTTTCTCTGTTTGATTACTTTGTGCCAATTCTATACTGCTCTGATTTTTAATTTTTGTCCTAACTTTATGGTAAGTCTTAAAATCAGATAGCATAGACCTCTAATTTTGTTTTCTTCTTTTAAAATTGTCTTGACTATTCTGGGTTCTTTGTCTTTTTATATAAGCTTTAGAGTCAATTTGTCAGTTTCTCTTGCTAGAAAAAAAATGAATAAGGGAATTTTGGTGGGGATTGCATTGAATCTCTAGCCCAATTTGGGAAGAATTGACATATTAGCAATATTGAGTGTTCTATTCCTGAAAATGGTGTATCTGTCCATTTATTTAGATCTTCCTTAATTTTTCTCAACATTTTTGTAGCTTTGAACGTATGACTCTTGTACATATTTTGTTATATTTATAACTAAGTATTTTATATTTTTATGCTATTATACATAGTACTGAATTTCAATTTCCTTTTGTTCTTGGCTACCATGTAGAATTGCAGGTGATTTTTTTGTATGTTGACCTTGTATCCTGCAGCCTCAATAAACTCACCTGTTAATTTTGGTCACTTCTATAGATGTCTTAGGATTTTCTGCATAGATGTGTCTGCAAATAGCTTGTTTGCAAATAGACAGCTTATCTCTTCCTTTCCAATCTGTATGGCTTTTATTTTTTCTTGCCTTATCACACTGGCTAGGACCTACATGTAGTACAATGTTGAATAGAAGTAATGATAGCATACATTTTTTCCTTGTCTCTAAGGAAATGTCTCCATTCATTCTTTCACCATTCAGTATAATGTTAGCTGTAGGTTTTTATATAGATGCTCTTTATCTTGTTGAGAAAATTCTCTTCCATTGTGGTTTTCTGAGAGTGTTATCAGGGATGAATACTGAATTTTATCAAATTCTTTTTCTTCATCTACTGAGATGATCGTGCGGTTTTTCTTTTTAGTTCTGTTTATACATTACATAATGTTGATCATCACATTGATGGATATTTGAATGTTAAACCAACCTTGCATTCCACACTAAGTTACAACATATTATCCTTCATACATATTACTGAATTCAGCTTTCTAAAATTTTGATACAGACTTTTACATCTATGTTTATGACAGATATTGATGTGTTCTGTAGTTTTTCTATGGTTCTTCTTCCATATCTTTTATTCTTTGTCTAGTCTCCTGTATCTTTACCTTGTTTTAGCATCAGTCTAATGCCCTCATAAAATGACTTGGGAATGTTCCCTCCTCTTCTATTTTCTTAAAAAGTTTGTGTAGAATTGTTATTAGTTCTTACTTATTGTTTGATAGAACTCCCCCGTGAAGCCATTAGGCCTAGATTTTTTTTTAGTAGGTTTTTAACTACAAGTTAAACATTTTTAATGAATATAGGGCTATTCCAGTTATTTATTAGATTTGAGGTAGCATTTGGTAGTTTGTGTCTTTAAAGGAATTTCTCTGTTTCATCTGAGGTTCATCTGACATGACATAAGATTATTCATAATATCCCATTGTTCTACAATTTGATTTCTGTAAGGTCTATGGTGATGTTCCCTCTTTCATCCCTGAAATTGACAATTTGTGTCTTCTCTCTTTTTTTTCTTGATCATTCTGGCTCTAGATTTATCAGTTTTATTACAGAGAACGAGTTTTCAGTTTTCATTGATTTCTCTGTTGTTTCTTTTATTTCCTTAATTTTATGTACGGCCTTTGTTATTTCCTTCCCTCAATTTACTTTGCTTTTCCTTTTCTAATTTTTCATGTAGAAACTTAGATCACTGATTTTAGACCCTTCCTCTTTGCTGATATACACATTTAATGCTTTCATCTAAGCACTGCTATAGCTATTGCTCTCAAATTTTGTGTGTATTTTGGGGTTTTTTTCTGTTCAACTTAAAAATATTTTCTAATTGTCCTGCTGATTTCTTCTTTTATCAATGGATTGTTACTGAGAGGCACAGTGTTTAATTTCTGTATATCCAGAGGGGTTCCAGATACCTGTTATTGATTCTAGTTTAATTCCATTATGGTCATAGGATATACTCAATGATTGTTATAACCTTTATTTTTATTGCATCTTTTTTATGGTTCAAAATATGTGACTATTACGTGGGCACTTGAATGTGCATTCCATTGTTGTTGGGAAGAATGTTCTGTAGTGGTCTAATTGATAATGTTTAGATTTTCTACATTCTTACTAGTTGTTTGTTTGTTTTCTATTTATTCTATGAATTACCAAGAGAGAAGTGTTGAAGTCTAACTATAATTATAGATTTTTCCATTTCTCCTTTTAGTTCTATCAGTTTTTATATAAAGCATTTTAAAGCTCTATTATTAGGTATGTAAATATTCAGGATTGTTCTGTCCCTTTGATGAATTTTCCCCTTTATCAAGAAATGACCATCTTTATCTCTAGTAATACACTTTTTTCTGAAATTTATTTTGTCTAATATTACTAACTTCTCCAGCTTTCTTTTTATTAGTGTTGCCTCTTTTTCCATCATTCCTGTGTCTTTATATTAAAGTTGGTTTCTTGTAGACAGCAGATATTTTCTATTGATATTGTAACAATTTTTACAAACTTGGTAGCTTAAACCAATGTAAATTTATTATAGCTATTTGGGTTTTTTAAAATATTTTATTTATTTATTAGAGAGAGAAAGGGAGTGGAGGAGGAGCAGAAGGAGAGAATCTCAAGCAGACTCTGTGCTGAGCGCAGCGCTGATGCAGGGCTCAATCTCATAACCCTGAGATCATGACCTGAGCCAAAATCAAGAGTGGGATGCCCAACCAACTGAGCCACTCAGGCACCCCATCTTATAGTTCTTTAAGTCATAAATCTGACATGGGTCTCAGGCTAAAGTGAAGGTGTCAGCAGAGCTGTGTTCCTTTCTAGGAGAAATTCCATTTCCTTGTCTTTTCCACTTCGTAGAGACTACCTAAATTCCTTAGCTCATGGCCCCCAGCAAGATTGCATCTATAACCACTCTTCCATAGATACATCTCCCTCTAATTCTGACCTCTCCTGCTTCTCTCTTTCACTTTTAAGGACCCTTGGGATTACATTAGGCCTACCCAGATAATCCAGAATAATCTCCCTACTTTTCACTCAACTAATTAGCAGTCTTAATCCATCTGCAATCTTATTTCTTCTTTGCCATGTAATCTAACATATTCACAGGTTCTGGGAGTTAGTACGTGGCCATAGGACATACTTGCCTAATACATAGCATATAACTGGGTCATATTTTTATATCAAATCTGACTATCTCTGCCTTCTCATTAGTGTTTCAACCATTTACATTTAATGTAACTACCAGTGTATTTGAGTTTAAATCTATAATATTGCTATTTGTTTTCTTTTTATTTGAGCTTTGTTTCTTTTTTGCTTTTTTCCCTTTTCCTGCCTTCTTTTGGTTTGGACTAATTAAATGTTTCTTATGAATCCATTTATATCCTCCATGAGTTTATTAGCCAGACTTCTTTATTTTTAGTGGTACTCTAGGGTGTATAACCTACACCTTCAAATAATGTCATCAT